GTCCAAGTCCAACAGGTGATTGACTCAGCAAAGTCACCCTGCTGGTAGGGAGAGGCAAGATTTGAATCTCAAGCTATGTGGTTTTAAACCTCCATGTAAGTTCAACCCTCAATCAACAGACAGACAAAAGTGATTAAAATGAGGGTAGAAATTAGTGAAATGGGGCATAAAAGAAGGATATAAAGGATCAGTGAAAAAAAAAACGTTCTTTTTGTGGTTGTGTGTGTGTGTGTGTGTGTGTGTGTGTGTGTGTGTGTGTAAGTGTAAGCCTTTTTTGTGTGGGTGTCCATATAGGTCAGGACATCATCTCACTTGAATCTCTCCCTATCTCTTTTTGTCTTTGTCTTTCTCTGTCTTTCTGTCTGTCCGTCTGCCCCCCTTACACACACACAAATAATAAAAAGCAATTTTTCTACACGCTGGCTCCTTAGTGGGTAAAATGTCACTAATCCTTCTGATCTGTTCACAGATGTCACTACTTGAATAAAACCTTTGTTAGGTTTCTCTTTCTTCATTGATTGTATTATTATTATTATTATTATTATTATTATTATTATTATTATTCCTCTTTTTGTGTTCTAATATTTGTATGTAGACTGTTGATTGATTGGTTGGTTGATTGATCAGTTGGATTTTTTGGTACAGAGATCATTTCTTTTTCGTTGTTGGTTGGTTTGGCTTGCCTCAAGATAAGATCTCATGTATTCTAGCTGTGTAGGATGATGTTGAACTCCCAGACCTCTTACCCTCACCTGCCAGTACTAGAATTGCAAGTGTGCGCTACCACATCTGTTCTAAGCAATGCTGGAGGTTGAACCTAGGACTTCATGCAAGCACTCTGCCAACTGCACTACATCCACAGTCCCCAGAGTTCACCTCTTAAGTCATCTTTGCCTTCCCTGTGCTCAATGTGAGCTGTGTCGCTATCGGTGCTCATAGTTACTTCAGTCCTCCTGAACAATTACCGTGTTTAACGTTACGTGGAGATAGTTATGGCTTAGTTCTGGTAAATTTGCAGGTTTATAAATAAATCTAGTTTTCTGTAGCCACAGATCTCTTGGTGGAAGCTGATTTCTACTGGTACATGAAATATATTTTTGACAGTTAATTCAGTTGCCTCACTTACTAGGCGGAATACAGCCTCTTTGCCTCATTTCCTTTCTATGGATAAGAACACAACACATTTGGACATTTTAGACATTTTTTTACATTTCATAAAGTTGATGCTTTTTCCAGGTGTGGTGGCACACATCTGTAATCTTGGTTCTTGAGATACAGAGACAGAAGGATCAGAAGTTCAGTCAGCCTTAGCTACATAGTAAATTTGAGGTCATTGTGTACTATGTGAGATTCTGTCTCAAAATAACAAAATTAACACTTTTAAAATAAACATTTCAGTGTTTTGTTGTTGTTTGTTGTTTTTGTATATTTATAAGGAGTTTGCAACCTATCTTAATTTCAAAACATTTTTAGCACTCAAAAATGAAAGACATACTCATTAGGTCTTACTCCCTGTTTATCTATTTCCTCCTTCTCCCCTGGCATCTGAGTTGCTTTTCTGTTGCTGTGATAAAAATCTCTGACAAGCAGCTTAAAGGAGGTAGTTTATCGTGATGGTAAAGTCAAGGCAGCAGGAGTTTGGATCAGCTGTTTGCATTGTATCCAGTCAGTGATTGCATTCTAGGCTCAGCTTTCCTCCATTTATCTCGTCTAGGACTCCTACTAGGGAATGGTGCCACCTATAGTGGGTGGGTCTTCCCACCTCAATTTTTATAACCAAGATATTCTACCACAGACATGTCCTGATGATCTAGATTCTGTCAAGCTGACAGCATTAATCATCATATTTATCAACTACTAATCTGGTTTCTGTCTCTGAATTTCAGTTTCAATACTTGAGACATTTTGTACACCTGGAAATCAATAGAATCTTGTTATAGGTGTCCTTTTGTGTGGTTTCTTGCATTAGCATGTTTCACAGATCATCCAGGCAGCCATATATATTTTTTTCTTCATTTTTTGTTGTTATTGCTTTGTGTTTTCTTTTGTTCCTTGCTTTTTCTTTGTGGAGTGGGCAGTGGGGATAGGTCTGAGGCCTTCTCACAGCTCTACAGCTGAGCCACACCCCCATCTGTATTGCAGATCTTGCTATGGCTATGTAAAAATCCATTGTGTGAACTGGTATTTTGTTTTCAGTTCTTCTGTTGACATTTGGGTTGTTTCTACCTATTAGCTATTGGGAACAACATTGCTCTTTCATGTTTTAAATTTTCCTATCTAAATTTTTTTTTTTTTTTTGAGACAGGGTTTCTCTGTGTAGCTTTGTGCCTTTCCTGGAACTCACTTTGTAGACCAGGCTGGCCTCGAACTCACAGAGATCCACCTGCCTCTGCCTCCTGAGTGCTGGGATTAAAAGCGTGCTCCACCACCGCCCGGCCTCCTATCTAAATTCTATAGAGTTACTAAGTAATGTAGTTATTACTGTTAGTATTTGAGACGCTAACAGCCCTGTAGCTGTACTACTTGACAGTCTAGGACTGCTGTAGACTTTTCATCACTTGTGCGTCTTGTTTGTTGGAGTGACACACCTGGTCAGAGCCTGCTCCTCTAGCTTTACACAGTCATTTCATGTTCATCCCGTGTCATCTGTGTTTTCCCTTCACAGCACCTCGTAGGTTTTTAATTTGCTTTGTTACATTAATACACACATACACATTTACATAGACTAAACAGCATTGCCAATTAGAGGGAGTTTTGTGTCATACCAGGAAATGGGGAATTTATCCTTTCTGTGATTTTTCACCATTTTCTATATAGTTTTTGGTCATACTTTTACTTTATATTGACCTGTGTTTTTTGGGTTTTTTGTTTTTTGTTTTTTTAAGCTAGTTGGCACCAGGGAAGGCTGAGAAAGGGTAACCCTTCCAGGAAGTCCATCCCAAGCTTAGATTAAGAGGGTTGCTAAAGCTTTCTCTATTGCCTGCTTGTGTGTTTCTCTGCGTTTTAGCCAATGCCCTGGCTCCAGAATAATTTTTCATCTTATATTGGGTCTGTTGCTTTGGGCTTCATTTTCTTACTTGTTTTCCTGAATTGCAAAAAGCAAAACAACAACAATAAAACCTTAAGATGTTGTCAGACACGTTGCATTATGTTTTACATTCACTAAACAGCCTCTAAGATCAGAATGACTGCTGTGTGTGGGGTCTCACATTTGGAAGGCAGCGGCAGGTAGATCTCTGAGTTCAAGACTAGCCTGGTCTACAGAGTGAGTTCTAGGACAGCCAGGGCTATGTAGAGACCCTATCTCGAAAAACAAAACAAACGAACAAAAAAATCATCATCATTATTATTCTTAGTCTCCTTTTATTGCTGAAAAACAAACAACCAAACAAAAAATGCTTGGTCAGAGAAGTCATACCTGCCCTGGAATTTTGCATAGGAAACTCTCCTAGCTTTTTAGGAAAGAATCTAAAACAAGAATTCTGTGAAGATCTGTTGAACAGAGTGTACTTCACTAGCAGTTGGATGTGTGAGACAAGGTATCAGTGTGTAGCCTAGGCTTTTCTGAACCTTGTGATCCTTCCCTCCCCACATCATGCAGAGTACCCCACACCCACACTGCACTGACTTTTGAGTGGAACATTTCTTTTTCTTTTTTCTTTTTTTTTTTTTTTAAAGATGTATTTATTATGTATACAGTGTTCTGCCTGCACACCAGAAGAGGGCACCAGATCTCATTATAGATGGTTATGAGCCATCTTGTGGTTGCTGGGAATTGAACTCAGGACCTCTGGAAGAACAGCCAGTGCCCTTAACCCCTCCCCCCTGAGTGGAACATTTCTATGTCATCTCTTCCATCTGTCTGTTACAGTATCTCTGGTTTGACTAAAGTGCTTATGTAGGAAAAGAATCTTGAAACTTTCAAGGTAAAATCTGTTACTGAAGTCTTAAAATGACTAGCGGTGGAGTTTTTACTAGACCCATAATAAACAGGAGGACACTGATTTGAAGAAAGGTTCTATTAAATATATTTATAGAATATTTATAGAATTTGGCATGGTTTTGAACTTCTTTCTAGTGATAAAGATGAACAAGCTGTCATTCTTGCCTTAAAAGAAATTCAACCTTTGAGATACTGTCACATAATCATTCTCTTGTGGAAAAATTATATCCATAAAATACACGTAAAGTTGTTGAACAAGAGTAGAAAACAAGTCTTTTTTTCAAGTCATTGTTAATGCTTTTTAGATTGATTGATTTTTTTTGTTAATATGTATGAGTATTTTGCCAGCATATATGTATGTGCACAGAGTGCATGCCTGGTACCCTCTGGATTTAGAAGAGGGCACCAGATCCTTTTGGGCTGGAGTTATGGATGCTTGTGAGCCACCATGTGGGTGCTGGGAACTGAACTGGGGTGCCCTGTAAGACTAGTAAGTGTTGCTAGTACTGAGCCGTCTCTCCAGCACCAGGGAGTCTGTCTAAGTTGCTATATGGCTCTAAGCAGTGTGCATTGTAGATTGGAATTGGATTGGTGTGTCAGTTCTGAACTCTGTCCTCTCTACATGTGTATTAATAAGAACACAATATAATCATAGAAGACAGCCAGTGTTTATTGCTACTCAGCTTTATGATGCTGTGATGAAGTGGCTAGGAAAACCAACCAGAACAAGGGAAGATTGATTCTGGCTCTTGGTTTCAGAAGTTTTGGTGCAGGGTCCTTGGCCCTGCTGTTTCGGGGCCTGTGGAGGCAGAGCATCATGTCGGGGTATGTGGTGCAGCAGTCTTCTTCACCCCATGGGATCCCAGAAGCAGAAGTGGGCACAGGAAACAGAGATGACAATATACCCTTCAGTGACCTACTTTTACAGCTAGCCCCCACCTACTAAATTCATAAGTTTCCAACACCTGAACTATTGGGGGACATTGTAATTCCAAAGTCTAACAGATGTCAACAAATTTTTTTTTTCACATATTAAGCTATTCATTTTCTCTTACAGATCTGCCAAGAGTTTAACAGTACCTGGGCATGGGAGATGGAGAAGAAAGGCTATCTTGAAATGAGTGTGGAGTGCAAACTAGCACTCTTAAAGGTAATGCATGTGTTCTTTGTTGCAGTTACTTTCTTTTTTAAGTTTACTTTGACTCCTAAATTACAAAGTAAAGAACACCAAGGGTCAGCAAGGTAGTTCAGTGGGTAAAAGTACTGCCACCAAGTCTAACAACCTGAGTCCGCATCCCTGGGACCTACATGGCAGAAAGCGAGAAATGACTCTAGAAAGTTGTCCTCTGTCTTCACATGTGTGCTAGAGTATGCAAGTGTGCTCACTAAAAAGTAAGTAAGTAGAGGTAACAACAAAATCTGAAGCAAAGGGAAACTGAGTATGGCTGTGCACACCCATAATCTCAGTAATTGGGAGGCTGATTCAGGAAGATCCTGAATTTGAGGCCAGCCTGGGCTGTTTCTTATATCCCAACAGAACGCGAGAGGTGGGGGTACGGTGAACATTTTATAATTGAAGGAACATCAGGGTCCTTCACTTTCTTGTTTTTCATGGTAAAAAGTTTCTTCTGGGCTGATGAGATGGCTTTGCAGATAAAGTCCTTGCCAGACAAGCATGGGGATCAGAACTCAGATCTCCAGAACCCACTCAAAAGCCAGGTGGGGTCAGCCTACCTGTAGTCCCAACCCTTGGGAGGCAAAGCTGAATAGAGGGTGCACCATGCAAAGCCATGAGCTCTGGGATCGGTGAGGGACCGGTTTCAATAAAAAATGGAGAACAGTCTAAGAAGATGTAGCCCACATTAACCACTTGCCTCCATGTGCAGGAACTCCTATACACACGGAAAAAGTGCACATGCACAACCACACATGAGAGTCAGTTCTTGTCTGTACTACTTTTAAGGATTGTCTTTACAATGTATCAAGTTTTAATTATTTCTGATGAGAGATAGAGTAACAGAATAGGGAAGCATTGATCATTGTTTCAGCTGTCACCTTCATCAATCACTATATGTTCCAGACTGTGGGTAAATAATAATAATACAAATAATAAATAATGGGTGGCAGTTTGCTAAGAAATGTTGAAGTGTAATGACCAAGGGATTCAGCACTCCCACCCGCTCTAAATCCTGTGGAAATGAAGTCAGCCTTTAACCCATGTTGTGCTCTCGTGTGCACTACAGCAGTAATCGCAATATCGATGAACCTTCGTGAATAAGAAAGGCATGAACACACATGCACATGCTGCGATGCACTGTAGTCTGAAAGAAAGGTGCTGGTATATGGCTCATTGGGTAAAAGCAGCTATTCTCCAGTCTGAAGACATGAGTGAGTTCAGTCCTGGGACCCACCTGGTGGAAGGCGAGAACTTGTTCCCACAGGTTGTCCTCTGACCTGTACAAGCAAGCTGTGACATGTATCACACACACACACATAAAGAAAATAAGTAAAAATGTAATTTAAAACATTTTTAAATCAGGAGGACAGTATGTTAAGTGTAGTAAGCCAGGCACAGAAAGAAATTACACCATGTTCCCACTTTAATGTAGAATTTTAAAGAGTCAGGAATACAGTGGTGGTTAGCCCTGGTCAGTGGTTTAGCAATCAGATTGGAGAGATTTGGGGTAAACTTACAAAGTTTCAGCTAGTTGGGTTGAAGGTGATTGTATTACATCGTTAAAAACTGTTCATAGATTTTAAGTGTTCTCATCACCAAGTATGCTTGAACTAATCATTCTACATTGTATATTGAATCATATGTGTATGTGCAGGGAGCCGGGACAATCGCCATTATAAGATGGCGCTGACTTCTCTGCATTCTGAAGATTTATTACTCCTAAGACAATGCTTTCGACGAAATACACGCCTCTGCTTTGCATATGCACAAGTTATATTGGCCCCTCACCAATCCTATCTCGCCTGGTGGTCGCAGGCTAAGTTCAGCCAGCGATTCGCGCCTCTTTCCCTATAAAAGGCAGCCGCTTTCACTGCCCCCTCCCCTCGCTTCCAGCACTCCCTTAACCAAAGGCTCTCCAATAAAGTGTGATCGGGAAGAATCTTTGTGTGGCGGTCGTTCTTCCTTGCGGGTCGAGAGGAGCGCGCCACATGTATGGTTTTTATTTGCCAATTACATTAATAGTTTGTGAAAATATAGTGTTATACAATGGTATAATTGGAGAGCTTTTAGTGCACATAAACTTACCGTTTTATCAGTATAACTTGATTGTGTATAAGTGATTGTGTTAAAACTCTACATTGGTGTAAAATTAAAATGTTGCCTTCAGATTTGCCTATTATGTTGATTATTTAAGCAGATTCTACATAATAAGTTGAAAGCATAGTGCAAAATAAATGAACTGTGTGATCTCTCGGCTCTGTCCCTGAATCACTCCTGAAAGTATATCATATTTATTAGAGAAGTGTTTTACAGTATTTTAAGCCACAGTATAACTGTTTTTCAGTATCTCTGTGAATGTCAGTTTGATGACAATCTTAAATTCAAGAATATAATTAATGAAGAGGATGCTGATACGATGCGTCTCCAGCCAATTGGGCGAGACAAAGATGGCCTCATGTACTGGTACCAGTTGGATCAAGACCACAATGTCAGGATGTACATAGAAGAACAAGATGATCAAGATGGCTCTTCTTGGAAATGCATTGTCAGGTACCTTTATTGGGATATCTTTACATATTGCTTTCTTAGATCTCTTCTCTACTGGAATATGATCTATGAGGCTAGAATGGTCTTTTTCTTAATGGGAATTGACAAATTTTCTATGGCTATTCTAGGACTCAGCACAATGTCCATAGTGGCTACTTAATATTTGCCAAATAAATTTAAATAGCATTTCAGTCCATATCATATCAGGACATATACTTTGTGCTCACAATGTTATCTGAATATTAATGTATGTTATATGCATGAAATATTCTTCTATATAAATATAATAAAAGCATCCTTTAGTTCTCTCTTTTCTAAGTATTTCAGTTTGACCAGTTTATCTGTATATTTCTTTCTTGGAGTTCTGGAGAACATTTTGCTCTTGTGTTATAGTCCTTAACTTTTTTTATTACTCATTTGTATTGACATTACACATCTTGAAATTGGGTTTTGTTTTTTAAATAGGTGAGTGATACTGGACCTTTGCAGAGAATTTTTGTGTTTTTTACTTTTTTATCTTGCAGTTTCATTATTTATAGCTATTTCATGAGTAGCCACATTATATCAAAATTTTAGAAATGTTAGTGATGTGATAAAATAGGGGAAACTCATATTTATCTAACTCCTGGCTATAAGTTGCTGCTTTGACATGAACTGTTACCTGGTTTTTGCCCTACTTTTGTTTTTAGCATATTTTTATTAGTGAATATCATAATATTCATTTATTAGTAAACTTCAGCATTCATTCTCCAAGAATAAGTATGAGTTGAATGAATTCATGGGGTGTTATTCGCAGGTATTACATGGTTCTTTTTTTAGCTAAGTTCCTAAATGAAGGTAAGCGACAAACTCCTAAAATAAAATTTATTCACTATTGTTCTCTGTGAATGTAGACACTTAGCAGGGTTCTCTTCATGATGTTTTACGACAAGGTATACTGTTCTGCATAGCAGCCTTACATGCTTCAAAAAACTGTTCTTTCCTGCTTTGTAGATCAAGAAAATATAACACAGAATCATGTTTACTATTGCTTATGTTTACTATACCCTTAAAATAGTTTCTCATTCACACTGTTAAAGTATGTCTACGATGCAGTTATTTTAGCCGATATGTGTTTTTGAATCTGGGTTTAACTTTTTACCTCATATAGACACATTCCTTCCTATCTGTTATTTTCCTGTGCTTCATTTATTTTTTGCATATGTTTCTGTGTATTGGTATGCATGTGTGTTGTATGTGTGTTTGCATGTGTATGAGCACACTGTGTACATTAATGTGTTGGCTGGAGGTGACATCAGGAGTCTTCCTCACTTGCCCTCCTCCTTGTTCATTGAGGCATGGTCTCTCAGTTGAAGTCAGAGCTGTCCAATATGGCTTGTATGGCCAGCCAGCTTGCTTCAGGATCCCCTGTCTGCTTCCTGAGTGCTGGATCACAGGTGGACTGCCATGCCCACTAGGCATTTATGTGGATTCTGGCTGTAAAAACTCTGGTCCTCCTATTTTCCTGGCAATCACTTTACCCACTGAACCATCTTGCCAGCCTTATGTTAAGATAATAATACTTCCTACAAGCTGTTATGGGAACTATATGAAAGATTACGCTAGGACCATATTGCATGCTCAGTAAACATTTGCTCTTTTCTTTTTTAAAAAAATGTAAATTTCTTTTACAATTACTGTGTGTGTTTGTATGTGACACATGCATGTGCTACAGCTTACATGTGGAGGTCAGAAGACAACTTTGGGGAGTTGGTTCTCTTTCCACCTTTATGTAGGTTCTAGGGATTGAACTCAGGTCCTCAGGTCTCTGCTGCACACAGTGGTGTCAGAGACCCTTGCTGTCCACCTTTCTAACCCCAGACGCTGAAACTTTGTATCTTTGTGAAAGAAGTATTTATCAACTGATGGTTAAAATCCTCAGTGTCTCCCCCCTCCCCCCCTTCAACCGTGACTAGCTTTATTTCTAGCAGCTTCTGGCTTCAGAAATCAGGAACCAGCCCGTAGGGATGTGGCAGTTCCTAGAGGTGCTTCTTTAGACACTCAGTCTCCAGCTTACATAAACCCGAGTGGAAACTGGAGTATCAGAAATTCAGGCTTGCGGGCGGTGGTGGCACACACCTTTAATCCCAGCACTCGGGAGGCAGAGCCAGGCGGATCTCTGTGAGTTCGAGACCAGCCTGGTCTACAGAGCAAGATCCAGGACAGGCACCAAAACTACACAGAGAAACCTTGTCCCCCCAAAAAAACAAACAGAGAGAGAGAGAGAGAGAGAGAGAGAGAGAGAGAGAGAGAGAGAGAGAGAAAAGAAATTCAGGGTTATCTTTAACTACACAGTAGATTTAAAGCCAGCCAAGGCTACAAGAAATTTTGTCTCAAAAAGAAGATGAAAATCAAACAGAACCAAAACATCCAAACCCAAAACTAAACAGAAATTCCCTTTTCGTGTGTTAATATTCATTTCTGGTAAACATCAAATGATGAGATACAGTCAGTGTGCAGAAGCCAGTGCTCTGAAGAATGCCTGGGAAGTTTTCTCATGTTAATTACCAAGAGGAATTTGTTTTGTGAAGTTGTAGTAGGTTCTTTTTACCTTTATGAATCTGTTTATTGATGTTGTTTTTGGAGACTCAGCTCTTACTATGTGTTCCTGGCTAGCCTTCAGCTCCTGGAAATTGTCTGCCTCTGCCTCCTGAGTGATGAGATTAAAAAGCTGAGGACCACTGGGCCCCGCTTGGGTTGTTCTTAGTCATTGTGCTCAGAAACTCTGACCGCAGAACTGTAGAAATGTTTGTGACCATTCCGAAACATCGAGTTTAGTGACTCCGATGTCCACTAACCCAGTTTTTAAAGATGTGGTGGACATGTGTTCCTTTACTTCATTAGTCAGACTTGTACAGTAGGCACCAAGCTAAGAAATTCAGGATATGGGGGTGGTGACGAGCTTAGCTAGGATCCCTAGCTGAATTCTACTCACTTGTCAGGACTCTTAGTTGTATATAGTGTATATCATTTTCTTCAGTTTTTGTTTGTTTGGTTTGGTTTTTTTGGTTTCCCTGTGTAGCCTTTGCTGTCCTGGACTTCACTCTGTAGACCAGGCTGGCCTTGAACTCACAGAGATTCACCTGCCTCTGTCTCCTTAGTGCTGGGATTAAAGGTATGTGCTGCCACCACCTGGCTTCCTCAGATTCTTAATTGGTTGTATTTATGCTTAATATTAATGAGGTGTTTGTGAGGTGGCATTTTAGCTAGCTTGTAACTTAGTGACTTATTAGAACTGCTACTGGTATAATGTTGTGAACTGTCTTGTCCCCTAAGTCTTTCATATTATGGAAATTAAATATGAAAGTGTATTTTAGCTTCCTCAAAAAAATACTCTTTTGGCCACATGTGGTAGCACACACCTTTAATCCTAGCAGAGACAGGCAGATCTTTTTGAGTTTGATGGCAGCCTGATTTACATAGTGATCGCAAGGACACCCATATGCAGCGAGTCCCTGCCTCAAGACAGAAGAAATTACTTGGTCTAGGGTTATGGTTATTAACAGAGTGCTTGCCTACCCGCAGGAGACCTTGTATTTCATACCCAGCACATTCTCCCTAAAAATGGTATTCCTAGCTAACGGGGTGGGGTGGGTAATAGTTTAGTGAAGGGTCCTGGCATAGCATGTGTGCAGCCTTCCGTTTAACACCGCTAACAACAAAGTAAGGTGAGGTATCGTCTCACTTATGATGACGTCATACCTGGAATAGAGTTAAGTTCTGATCCCAAACTTGAAGAGAAAAGTATTTAGTACAATAAACTCCTTATGGGAAGAACACTAATTGAATAGGAAGAATATTAATTGAAAGGTGTAAAGGATTGTTACAGAATAATTTATGGAGATGTCTATTGAGGACTATGGGGGTCCAGCCCCTTGATAGTCCCCTCCCAGGGTCGGGGAAGAATCTACAACCAGCTAATAACTAATCTTGGATGAAAAGAAATGAATCTATATACAGGAAACTCCTTAGTCCATACACTTCACTATTCTGTGTCAGTTCTTTCTCTGCAAGCTTCTATTCTCCTTTAGCTCCTTTCTTGCCTGACTTCTCTCTATATTCATCTACTGCTCCCGCTAAGTTCTATCTTAATTCTCTCATCTTAATTCTGCCTCATCTAGGTCCTTATCATCTTATTCTTACCCAGCTAGTACTTCCCCATCTGACTCTTCCTCATCTTCCATCTCATCCACACGTCCACATGTACTCGCTGGTCAAAATCCTCCTTATCCCTCTCCGTTCTCTGTCTCTCTGTCCTCCCCAAGTCTCTCAGGAGTCCAGTTATAAACCCAAGCAATAGCAATCCCCTGGTCAAGCAAGGTCACCAGGCTTGAATTCTACAGGGTCATAAAGGCAGGTAAGAATTTTCCTCAGGCAGTGACCACCAGTCTTCCAGGGCCAAATGGTGGGGTGATAAGAATCACATAGAGGGGCAGTAATTGTTAATTATTATTTGCAACCCACAAGGGAAGTGACTAATGAATTAACTCTAGGCTAAATTCAGGTAATATCTAAGAAGAGGGGTATTATGTGCTCAACTATAATCTTAAACATGATTGGTAGAAAATGTTAAGAATCTGTAAGTTGCTAGGTCAATGGGAGAAAATAAAACTGACTTCTTTTTTCCTGTGGCTCCTATCTGTCCAAGCTATCTGCCATTTTTTTTTCCTGCTGGGTGGGGCAAGGTGTGTTCGGTCGCTAGGCAACCTGTGTACAGCTAGATGCCTCTGGTGATAGTTTAAGGGAGATCTGGAACTAAAGATAAGATTTGAGAAAGGAGGAAGTTAAGCTTAATTGGCACATCCGCCAGGCCTTCTCAAATGGGTAGTCTGGACACTTAAGTCTGTTCTTAGAGAGTACAGAGGTATCTCTGATAAGGTACTTTCCTCTGTCTGGGGAAGGACCTGGCCAGATGCTGCCAATGACGATAATTACAGGGAGGCTTGAACTGGGGTTCTGGCTGT